CCAAGGAGTGAAGAGTTCCAGCCTTGCACCAGGATCTCCAGCCCAGAGTTCCAGTGCTGGCAAGAGAAGTCCCCATAACTTCTGACTATGAAAACCAGTGGATATGGTGGCTCAGAGAGATGGGGGACTGCTGGAGTACCAGGCATTCCTCTTAAAGGGCCTTTGCATGGAATTACTCACTGATGGACTCACTTGCTCTGTGCTCCAGCACTGGGGCAGCATCTCAAAAGGTGCCAGAGACAGAAGTGAATTATATGGCTTCAGGGAAAGGCTGAAAGGGCAGCTGTCTCCCAGAGGAAGTACTGGCAGAAGCTGCTGTTCCTTTGTTCAGCCCTCCCACTGCATGTGCAGGCAAGCACCATACCTGAGTCACCATCAACCTCGTTAACACTATTCCATACAAACAGCCTATCTTGGCATATGCTGTGGACATTCCTAAAAATATCTCAAAGGATCAGAAACCCCAAACAAGCAGCATCTGGCCCTGGCATGCTCTGTCCCACTTACTAAGCAGCTCTATACCTGCCACTAGGAGCATCCAGCATCGGTTTGCATCTTAACCTTTCCCAGGCACCTCCAAGCCCAACACAAGTGGCAAACATCTACATATCACTTTATAGCTAATACCAGGTGGCCCAGGCAGGGTACAGGCAATGGAATAAATAACCTTGACCTGTACTTCCTAATAAGCCCCAGAACCAACACACCCAGTGTTCAGCTTCAGACTATACCAGAGCAGCACCCAACCACATCTACAAATGATATACTCAAAGAGGAGACTCAGCAGGCACCAGAGCTCTTCTAAAGAAAATTCTGATCTGTAGGTTTACCCTTGCACAATAATAGCTCCTCTAACCTAGTCATGACCAGTCCTTAAGACCAATCAGCCTGAGAGTCAATCCCTCCCATTGATGTGCCAACAGCAATCAAAGCTTAACTACAACGGAAAGGCACACAAACGCACACAAGGGACACACACGGAGCACGCAGCTCAGGTGAATTGGGAGACTGTGTCACTGGTCCCCATTGGACACCTACTACGTAAGGCTACTCTACCAAGAGTGAGGGATGTAGCAGCTCTCCATAATACATAGAAACAAACACATGGAGGGAGCCAAGATAATGAGACAATGAATCATGTCCCAGTGAAAGAACAGAACAAAATTCCAGAAAAACTACTAAGCAAAATGGAGACAATCTACCAGATGCAGAGTTCAAAACACTAGTTGTAAGGATACTCAATGATCTCAGTGAGAACTTCAATGAAGA